ACCAATGTAACAGCAACAGTAAGACGGTACTAACTCATCCACTTTAACCACCAATGTAACAGCAACAGTAAGACGGTACTAACCCATCCACTTTAACCACTTATGTAACAGCAACAGTAAGACGGTACTAACTCATCCACTTTAACCATCGATGTAACAGCAACAATAAGATGGTACTAACCCATCCACTTTAACCACTGATGTAACAGCAACAATAAGACGGTACTAACTCATCCACTTTAACCATCGATGTAACAGCAACAATAAGACGGTATTAACTCATGCACTTTAACCATCGATGTAACAGCAACAGTAAGACGGTACTAACCCATCCACTTTAACCATCGATGTAACAGCAACAATAAGATGGTACTAGCTCATCCACTTTAACCATCGATGTAACAGCAACAGTAAGACGGTACTAACCCATCCACTTTAACCACTGATGTAACAGCAACAGTAAGACGGTACTAACTCATCCACTTTAACCACTGATGTAACAGCAACAGTAAGACGGTATTAACTCATGCACTTTAACTATCGATGTAACAACAATAGTAAGACGATACTAACTCATCCACTTTAACCATCGATGTAACAGCAACAGTAAGACGGTATTAACTCATCCACTTTAACCACTGATGTAACAGCAACAGTAAGACGGTATTAACTCATCCACTTTAACCATCGATGTAACAGCAACAGTAAGACGGTATTAACTCATCCACTTTAACTATCGATGTAACAGCAACAATAAGACGGTACTAACCCATGCACTTTAACTATCGATGTAACAACAACAGTAAGAGGTACTAACCCATCCACTTTAACCATCGATGTAACAGCAACAATAAGACGGTACTAACCCATCCACTTTAACTATCGATGTAACAACAACAGTAAGAGGTACTAACCCATCCACTTTAACCATCGATGTAACAGCAACAATAAGACGGTACTAACCCATCCACTTTAACCATCGATGTAACAGCAACAGTAAGACGGTATTAACTCATCCAATTTAACTATCGATGTAACAGCAACAATAAGACGGTATTAACTCATGCACTTTAACTATCGATGTAACAGCAACAGTAAGACGGTACTAACGATAACGTTATGTAGGTAAAACATGAATATAATCACTTACAGACTTACAAACAGACAGATACGTAGAGAGTAACACGCAGGCAGATCGAAGGATATATTACGTTCATAACACGAAAGCTACAAGTGATGAGGAGTGAAATGAGTAGACAGAACAGCCTATTACAGGCGACACCTAGTGTCAGACTTTGCATTACTTAACTTTTACTTACTTGAAACCGGGATTTCATATTCCACCTCAAGAGTCACCTTTTCCCCAGTGCTCATGAGTAAGTTAACAATCTCGTCATGACGAAGGCTACTGGTCCGAATCCCGTTCACAGAAATCAGGTAGTCTCCAACCGCTAGGGCGTCACTCCTATTGGATAACCAAAAGTCATAATTACATACAATGGACGCCATACAATGGACTATCTTAATTATATTATATTATATAAGGGTTACTACAAGGTATTTTACAGTAATTCATTATCTAAATATCATAAATAATAACACAATGTATTATAGTGATTTATCGTATTAATCAGAACATCAGTATCATTCGCTCAACCAAATGATCATGGTCGTCAGCTTCATTTAATTAATGAGGGCTAATTCTAGGTTTGGAGTTATTCATTAGGGCTAATTCTAGGTTTTAGAGTTATTCATTAGGTCTAATTCTAGGTTTTGGAATTATTCATTAGGTCTAATACTAGGTTTTGGAGTTATTCATTAGGTCTAATTCTAGGTTTTGGAGTTATTCATTAGGGCTAATTCTAGGTTTGGAGTTATTCATTAGGTCTAATTCTAGGTTTTGCAGTTACTCATTAGGTCTAATTCTAGGTTTTGGAGTTATTCATAAGGTCTAATTCTAGGTTTTGGAGTTATTCATTAGGTCTAATTCTAGGTTTTGGAGTTATTCATTAGGTCTAATTCTAGGTTTTGCAGTTATTCATTAGGTCTAATTCTAGGTTTTGCAGTTATTCATTAGGTCTAATTCTAGGTTTGGGTTATTCATTAGGTCTAATTCTAGGTTTTGGAGTTATTCATTAGGTCTAATTCTAGGTTTGGAGTTATTCA